TTGGCTGCAAATCCATCAGGCAGACACTTATTACTACCACGACAAGTGGTATGTCAGGGAACCTGTACATCCAGGCCAAGGTTAATGATCAGATTGCTGGATGGGAGTGTTTGTGGTTATAGTTTACATTGTCAGTGAACTAACTGTTGTGTTATATATACACAGGCCTTTGAATTTCTCTAATGCAGCTGAATGTCTTCAATTCGAAATTATTTTCTCGATACATCTTCTGAGACTATGAAACCGTATTGTCTCGGCAGAATCACTGATGACTCTATGGTCTACTGTCGACTCTAGGGTATATTATCGACGCTATGATCTACTATATACTCTATGGTCTACTATAGACTCTATGGTCTACTATATACTCTATGATCTACTATATACTCCATGGTCTACTGTCGACTCTAGGGTATATTATCGACGCTATGATCTACTAGTTGCATTGTGTCTCTGCATGTCAGCGATGTAACACAGAATATATAGAATAAAACAAATTTAAACACCACTATGGACTCTATGGTCTACAATCGACTCTATGGTCTACTATCGACTGTATGGTCTACTATTTACTCTATGGTCTTCTATCAAGTCTCTGGTCTACTATCGACCGTGTGGTCTACTATCGACTCTGTGGTCTACTATCGACCGTGTGGTCTACTATCGACTCTATGGTCTACTATCTACTTTCTGGTCTACTATCGACAGTGAGGTCTACTATCGGCTCTATGGTCTACTATCGGCTCTTCTACTGACTCTATGGTCTACTATCGACTCTATGGTCTACTATCTACTTTCTGGTCTTCTATCGACAGTGAAGTCTACTATCGGCTCTAAGGTATACTATCGACTCCTTGGTCTACTATTGACAATATGGTCTACTATCGACTCTATGGTCTACTATCGACTCTATAGTCTACTATCGACCGTGTGGTCCACAATCAACTATGGTCAACTATCTTATCTACGGTCAACTGTTGTGTCGAAGTTCGGATAACTCGAACTATAGTTACTAAAAGTTCACTGTAAATATGTGACAGTCAATGTAGACAAATTATTGACCTATGCTGGTATAACGTACTCTGTGTTGTCTTCAATGGACAACAACACTTATACCTTACTCATAAAACTGTTAAAAGAGGCGTTTAACCCAACTCACTCACTCACTCACTCACTCATAAACTCGACGAAACTGAGTTAAGATCATATAGTTTTCATTCTGGAGAAGCAGCATAAGTATGTTTACCTATATACCCTAATAACATCCCTACGCCCACCAAACCTGCTCATGTTAAGATATGAGAGAAACGCCACCGGAAATATTCATTTGACACATATCATTAAATATCTAACCGCTAAGCATAGGATCACGTTGGATAATTTTCATAACATTTTCTAAACGTTCGCACTCCTTTGGATGAGTGAATGTGTGAATTTGTTAAGTTTAACGCCGTTTGGAACACTATTTCTATTCTGATACGACAGTGTAACATGGAAGAAAACCAGGTCGTATACCTTAACCGCTATGGATAAACCCATGCGTATATACATGGCGCCAACAAACCAAGGTCCATATTTGGGACAAATCTGGATTCGAACCCACGATCAGCCAACCTTAACAAAACTGAACGAACACAACAATGCATGTCGAATTGTGGAGACTGTAACCACCCATTCCCTAATCTCTGCTGCAGTTAAGGCATACACAACCACCCCGAAGATTCGAACACAAATAACACGTTTATTTGAAAAGTGACAATGGTAAAGGACCAAACGGACCATCACAAAACATCGTCCTTTCGAGATTCTAAATATTTTCAGTTCGATAGCCTGGGTGCCTCATCATAACAGAAAGCATGAAGTCCATTCATATCTACATCGCTTGTTATACGCCTCTATCTTCATACACTTTCGATTTTTCTTACCGTGAAATCGATGCAGCCAGTCAAGAAAACAAACACCCACCGTAGCACTGTTGCTTGAACAGCTGTTCGCATGGGAAAGTAGCCATCTCGTATATTCAGTGCATGTGGCGCTAATTGGACACACTTGCACATGCTCCCATGCTTGCTTCGTGATAATGTGGCATATGCTGTGATTGAAATAGCTGACTAATGCATGCTACGTAATAATGTTTTAATAATTTGCAACTGAAAAGTACAGATATATGTGCATTTGTCAAAACGTGGATTATACATATACAACAACACGAACCTTTACATGTGGGTTAATGATGACGGAACGCCGATTTGATCAGAATCTGTCACGGAATGTTAGCGTCAGGGGAAATACAGCCCACCGTGACACATTTCTTACATGTTTAACCCCTCTCACGTGGTTACTGGCACTGCAGGAATCATAAATAGGGCGAATTTAGGATTCGAACCCATTATCAATAACAGGTGACATGGTGCTGCTATATCAAGAATCGTAAAGGGGCCGATTAGGGATTCGAACCCATTATCAGTAGCAACTAAAGGCCAAGTCCTAGCAATGACACAGAACCCGTATGTGTTCTTTACTTACATTATTATCGGGACCATTACACGACGCCTCCATCCCATCTATGTTGTGGTTCAAAAACAAAGCATTGGCCAAACTGCACATGATTTAAACATAGGTCTCCAAACTAGACGGTATGATAATTATAGGTAAATCTAGACACCTAGAATAGACACAGAAATGTCATGTAAAATATATCATAGACTAAAGGTCCACATGACATTGTCTATTATCTCACGCGTGCAGGCTCACTATAGTCAGGTGCACATCGGTGGGGAATTGAAACAGCAGGTGCCACCTCGTAGACGCTAGTAATACTCAGTTATACATATGCATGGTTATAGCATACACGCTAGATTACATTCAATACATGTGTCCTTTGCCGACTACCGATGAGAAGAGAATTGCTTACCTCATGGACACGCATATCTATTATGATGTTACAACCTACATGTATAGGTATGTATGTGAGGTTCTGCTGCCATGACGACCCTTATATGAATTGTTTAATTCACAGTTTGTGACCCCACTGATGAGTAAGTGTGATATATAACAGTTTATAGGTGCAACCATACGCTCTGCGAAAACATTCATTGCGTCCTGTCCTGACGCACTGTGGTAACAGGGGCGGTCGGGTAGCCTAGTGGTTAAAGCGGTCGCTCGTCACGCCGAAGACCCGGGTTCGATTCTCGACATGGGTACAATGTGTGAAGCCCATTTCTGGTGTCCCCCGCCGTGATATTGCTGGAATATTGCTAAACGCGGCGTAAAACCATACTCACTCACTCACTGTGGTAACAACATGCTCTGTGGATCATTGTGCGTGGGCGTGTTCAACCAGTGATAGTTATCAGTGTATCCATCTTATAGCGATAAGTCCGTTTGTTCAGGGGAAACACGTTTAGGTAGTTGTTGGTCGTTGCTCTGTATGACAACTTGCGAGCGCGTATCGTGGTGATAAACCAACGGTCATAATCAGGCGATGTTTGTCTTCGAACCCACGATATGCGGCCACCTTAGCCAACGGAATGAATGAACGAGCTGAACATAAGATATACCGACAACCATAACAGTTATGTGTCGACTTATCCAGAGTGCGAGACAAGCGAGTTTCTATATTATACCATACTGTCGATGGGGATTCTACATGACCCATAGCCTTTTATGATCCTATACGATAAACCAAGTTAATACCGTTTCAATGTATTGTTGTCATATCCATCCATGTAGAATTGACCGCCTCCGTGGTCTAGTGGTAGAGCGTCCGCCTGGAGAGCGGAAGGTCCGGGGTTCGATCCCAAAAGACGTTAAAAGATGGTACTTGTTGTTACCCTGTCTTGCGCTCGGCATAAAGGGGCTAAAACAAGGACTGGTCGGCTCGGAGTCAGTATACTGTGTCTTAGTGGAGTATTGATGTTAACCTGCGGCATGGTATCTCGGTGAGCTAGCACTGTAAATCGGCATCAGTCTGGACTAGTACAAGCAGCCACACACACACACAAGTGCAATCATCTTTGACGCGACGTTAAACCCCATGTCACCTCACCCCACCCGTATAGAATCATCCTGAAAATATGAATGGATGTACCTGCTTGTAATGAGACTGCAAGACTGTGTTTGTTGTGTATACAGAGCCACTTCATGCATACACTACATGGAACTTGCCGTAACAGTACATGCAACGTAAACAAACGTCGTATTCTTACAAAACGGGAAAACTACATTTTTCAACTTATAAAACCAAAATCAGTATTAAAGATATTTAACCTTCATTCTGCAACCAACAGGAATATAAACAAACCAAACATCACAAGGCGATGCAAAGATGATATATTAGTTAACATTCTGAGAACTGACCAATGAATGTCTACACAATTACTCCATTGATTTTGTAATATAAGTTTAGTGATCACGTTTAATTAGTACTGCTGTAGGGCGTTAGGCAACAGACACTTTCTATTTGTATGTTTAAATGGTAGTTAAGAAAAAAGATTATATTATGAACATTTACCGAAATCACTGTACATAATAGGACCCCTTCATGTCGAGGGAGCGGTGTACAATATGTTGTAATTGCCTACAGGGATAAATGTCATGTGTGTATGAGGCTGTTGATTTATAGGAAACATATTTAGTCGTAGCTCCTGAACCTGTTGCTGCGAACATATTTTGTCACGTCCAGTCGATACTTGTATGTATGTACCTCTGTGGCTACCAGGGCACTGTACCATTTCCCACTGGTTCGCGACAACCATACATCTGATGAAGCGTATATGTTCGAAACAATTCTCATTTGCATAAATTATTAACAAAACTCTTCATCTGAATATGTACAAATGACAAAACAGAGTATCAATTATGGAAATAATGCTTAATACTATTGACGAAATAATTCGTGTGCCACATTATAAATACACAACAAGCAATATGGTAATTTAAAAAATAAATCACTTACAAAACTATGAATGCAATATGGTTAGCAAAAGCTTCCTACTCACCTAATGATAGAACAGTAGATAATGTGTACTCCTTTGGGACTTAACACAATGCCAAAGTTTACAAACTTTCTAGGTGGCTGGTAGATATACAGAGCTTTATACAAGCTCAGCCAACATGTGTTAGCGTTCTCGCCAGTCAAGTGAGGCAGATGCATACGTTGACACGCAAGCCTTCAGTTGTTGAGCATGAGCTGATGTGAGCACCAATGAAATGCAACCACAGACTATCTCGACGCCAAGACCTTGCCAGCATTCGGGAAACTAAGACATGAATGCTCCGATGCGGAATGCGTGTACTAGCGGCTACGAGCGGTCGTGTGCGGATTATATGCTTGTTGAAATAGGTACTATAAGGTTAAGACACTCTGATGAGGTATGTTGCCGGTGTGGTGCTGGGTGATGCTCCAGCACTCGAGTTGACGATTGTCGTAAAAGATTGCGATACGGTTGTTGCAAAACTTAGGAAGTCGTGATGGAATTCGAACCACTTGTGTTTTTACGACTCCAGTCAAATTGAACCTAGGTTTCATGTTAAGAGCCGATTGTGTTCACATATGGAGGCAGGAACCACCCTATTGCCCTATCTCGATCCCTTAAAATCGAAAATAAGAAAACGGGATATTCATTACAAGATTTCGAGCCATAAACCTAGACACAGTAGGTTGTTTTTATTACGTACTTTTGGGTGAATCTGTTCTATCAGTTCTTTATTCAGCTTCAAATACAATTTATCTGCATTATCCAACAAGCTTGTTAAGCCTATCGACAACTGATATATCTATTTCATATCTATTCATATGCGACACGTGTGTTCACAGAAACTGGAGCATCAATCGAAGCTGTTACAATGTATAATATCAACACTTTGTGTAGACGTTATGTCTGTTAAATAAGTACCTATATACACCAGAAGGTAAAATGAAGATACAAATCGCGTACGAAGAGGAATATCGAAATTTCAACTGTAGGATTGACTCGCAAGCAAGAACATGAACATATGCATTTCTTTCCTTCCATGTTTGGCGTGTATCGTTCCTTGGAATAGAGACACACGGATGAACACAGCCAACGCACTGTCAGCTTAAGTTTCACAGAGAAACATGGCTCGATGCACAACATAAGATAATCCATACATTATTGTGTACACCGTGTCTGTCCTCTCGCCTAACGTTGAATTAACTTAAGTCTGAATCGCATCTATGTTGAGGTAAACATATCGACCAAAACATCGACTTTCCCAAGCTGTCACAAAGTTTACAACCAGGAATAGTGATCAAGTGTATGAAGAATAGCATTGTATCACTATATACACAATTTTGAAAGTTCAGCAGAAATTGTAAAACTTTTCAGGTTCTGCTTGGGAGATTTTGATTGCCCTAAATTTGAATTTAATTTATGTGATCTAATAATAGATTAAATTAACCATAAACCTATTTCAACAACATTCTATGTTAAGTGTAGGCAGATGTTTCGTTGGATGAACGAGACTAGTTATTCTCTGGCGTTTAAGATATATAATTTCATCTATCAATAAGGTTGTTTTATCTTCATATAGTATCACACAATTAGTTTCCGTTTATTTATAGATTCCATTTGAATTTGCTTCAAGTTTTCAAATAATGTGACTGACATTAATAAATAAAATTATGTGACAAAGAAATAAATTGAACAATCAATAAAATACAATGCTTGAAGATCCGGGCTAGAATAGGTCTTCAGCAACCCATGCTCGCCGTGACAGGCGACTGTGCTTGTAAGAGGCGACAAACGGGATCGGGTGGTCAGACTCGCTGACCTTGTTGAGGCATGTCATCGTATCCAAATTGCGTGTATCGATGCTCATAATGTCAATCACTGGATTGTCCGGTCCAGGCTCAATTATTTACAGACCGCCGTCATATAGCTGGAATATTGCTGAGTGCAGCGTTAAACAACAAACTAACAAACAATGCTATTTTGAGGAATATGAAACTATTCCTTTGTGTTATCTTACAATCATATCGCAATATTTCCCATTTTCATAGTTTTATTAATAAAACAAGCATATCCTGAATTGGATTTTACCAAACCGACATGTCATACCGGTCATTCGTCATTGAAATAACGTTTATATTGACATACGAGTGTTCATAATTGAATGTATGCCAACTTTAATTAGATCCTATTTTCCGAAATGGCACGCTTATTAAGCATGTACACTAATAAGGCCCCTCATACTGCCGGAGTAGGAAATTGGTGATCTGCGTGTGGTGCTTGTTGAACACTCTGACATTTGTTATCTAACTTTGATTGTAGACGTAACAAACAGCTGTACAGGGCTAATGGCCCAGACATAGTGGTCGATTACAGGGTAAACGTATGCTGATATGGCTCATAGCATGGTCGTTATGTATGATTAATACTGAATCTTCTCGGTTGACCTTACCAGGGTGTTATTGACGTGGAATGTTATATATGCTTGTACTCTTGTGAGAAGTACACATTACGCTAGGTACATATGAAGGTGTTTATTGTATGGGCTCTACGCCTTCGACGATGTATTGAAAGGGACGTTCTCACGTATGCGTCATGAAATAGGAGGCATTTCACTAAAATCTGTTCTGATAACTGTTGACACCGACAGTGGTATGCCCTATAAATAGAGGATATTTCATGTGTCGAGTGAAATAGCATGTTTCTCTCATGGAGTGACAGGTCATATTTTCACGAGTGGCGTTGCTTCTTTTTTATATACTTTTTGTGTAGTCGTCTACCATAAAATGAAATTATTTCATTGAAACGTGAATTCTCCCTACCTAACACGCAGGGACGTTTCACCACCCCTTGTAATTGCGACTTAAATGTAGTTCCGTGTTTCCAAAATCTTAAACAATATAACAAAATTAACAAAAATATTTAGGGTCAATAAAATTCTGTATCAATCATTTAGATATGATTATATAGAAAAGCAACTTAAGCAAAAATATTCTTGAAATCTACGAGTCAGCTGTGGCTCGCGAAATAATACACGTTGGTCAAGTAACAAAAATGGCTCTTTGCGAAATGAACAGTCTCCAATGGCTAGGAAAAAGAAAAAGTTTATGTGTGTGTGTGGGGTGGGGGGGGGGGGGATGGAGGGGTGCTTGGTTCATGTCTCAAACTAATGCCGGTTGTATTGTGCTAGCCTACTGAGATACCATGCCATAGTTAAACATGCATACCCAATCCTCACCGTACACTCATAATTTTATCACATTAAAGTTGAGCGCCAGGCAAAGTAACAACAAGTACTGTCGTTTAACGTATTTTGGGATGACGTAGCCGGGAATCGAATAATTGACCTTCCGCTCTCCGGGCAGACGCGCTACCCACAAGACCACGGAGATAGAAGCGATAAATCGCAAAGGTCAATGAAGAAAGTGGTTTAATTATCGATAAAACATTGTTCAATCATGACGCCATTTTGGGAGATTCGAACATACGCTTACAATTTTATGATGTCGTAAATTGGACGACGGTAGTTTGGAGAAGGATGTTCCCCTTAAATGTACATGTGTTGCTGGGCATTGCAGATAAACGCAATGGCCGAACGATCGTTTCCAATAGTGGGCGAGACATGGGTGAAAAGATGCAGATAATCGACTTGAGAATTGTGAGTGTTCAGGAAATACCAAATTTAAACTCCCTGTTCATAAAACGGATTGTAGTCATGGAGACATTATTTAAATATGGGTAAATATTTTTAAAGCTTGTACATGTTATTAACAGCCTTTGGGAGGTTGTTAATAATGCTGATATCTCATATAAGCAATATACGACCCGTTGTCGTTGTTTATCGACCCTCATTGTGTATTTTTCCTGCAGTGTTTTATTATACGATAAACAGCTATCCCGTCGTATATTTCTTAAAGAAAGAGACCAAAACACATTCAACATTTCAACTGTGTCAAATGCCAGAATGTTCCACACACGAAGATATCTCATTGGCTCAGGTTAGGAGAATACTACGTCCGGGTATTTCCTATTCTAGCAACTCAAACCAATGGCGCAAATTATATATTATTAGCCCTGACTACTAGGCCAATGAATATGGTGGAAAAACTTATCATTATATAATAATCTGACCACTGTCCACTGTACAACATTATACGTGTTATATTTACTTCACTAGCAATGATAATATTCTTGCATACTGATGATGAAGCAACCCAATGCGTTAACGCAGTACCGACTTATACTACATGGGCGGAATGAGAACTAGTCTGCCCAGCACCAGCTGTTGCAACCATGACGTCATCGGTAAGGGAGACCTACAGGGGATACTGTTGTGATAACACTTCTTCCAGTTCACTGGTTACCTTAGCCATCAGCATGTATAGTATTGCTCTGTTACCTACAGATGCGCCCCACCCGGCCCCGGGAATAATGTCAGCTCATGACTAAGGGTTAGGCGGGATTGACGTATTAGAAGTGTACCCAGTACAGCTGATCAACCAGATAGGTCGAGGCAGGATACTGAACACGATCACGATGACCTTTAGCTGATACATACACCTTTCTGTTCATTGATGGTAAATCTTATCAGGATATGGATACTGTTAGAAAGTACGACTCGTGGAAATGTTTGTGTTGATGCGTCTTTGCCGGGAGTAAGGTCTAGGTAGCTCCTCTAAAACAAATCGTCTATCTATTGACTTTGTGGTTGGAAAGGTAGGAATAATTACTGCCAGACAAAAGTAAGCATCAAAACATTACTTAGCTGAAAACAGTCGCCGAAACACTGACGAACCGTCTATAAAGGACAATAGTACCCGTGTCAACTACATCACCATCGTATACCTGTCTCCTGCTTGTTTCATTATGACTACCATCAACCATGGCCGGATACGCTCTATTGCCCGGCAGTTCAGTTCACATTAAGAATGGAAAATAAAACAAACATTGTTTATAGTGGACAGTGTAGAAATATATCATGAATGCATTGTTTGTATAAATAAACGAGTATGGAATAACTTTAAATTGTGTTTGGTTGACAAAAATATGATCACCTTTGAGGGAATGGACAAAACACACACACACACACACACACACACACACACACACACACACACACACACACACATACACACACACACACCGATTATAATATATGTATATATTAAGCTATAAAAGTTTTACTTTTATCGGTGATATATTAATTATCTATGAAGTACATTCTCTGTCTCCACGTGAAATGGCGAAGTACATTCTGCTGTTTCGAACTCGAGCATAATTGTACATATGACGGTATATATCATTGAATTGTTTGCTAGGCATTACTTAGAAGTTGACGGATGACAAAGTAGACATAATTTATGGATAACAACTTCTCTAATACTGTAAATGTCTAAATACTAAACATGCGGA